TTCCGGACCATGTCGAGACGCGTAAGGCCAGCGACTCGTCTAAGAAAGCCCATTTCAGCAGCTCGTACCCAAACTGGTAAACCACATTGCCAAAAGCCGCTCTGCAGCAAAGCGTGTTTTGTGTTGCTATTGCAAGTCCACTAATTCTGCCATTTCCGGTCCCAAACGCACACCAAAACTGAGGAAGTTTTGGGACCTCCGCGACGTTCTGCTGTAAAACTTAACCACCTGCACCTCATGATATGGAAGTCATCAAAAGTTGCACCGGTTCGGTTGCTTCCCGTGTTAGCAAAGGCCTCGCGTGCTACTGGAAACTGACTGCCACAGACCGCGATAAGTCAGAATCTGCATCACGTCTGCTATTGAAAAATCCCGTTGTTATTGAGGACGGCTTTCGCACAGAATGTTCTCTCTTTGGGCACCAAAAGTACCGGCTAACTGCTCGTACATGAAGAAAGAAAGGTAAAACTGGAGCAAGAATTTTGGACTTCAGTCTGGTGAAAAGTTTGGACAATCTAGTTTCAGGTAGACCGTTCCGTTGAGCCGTACTGGCAGTATCAGCATATTAACATGCCTGAACCTGTGGGGACACGACAGTTGTTTTCCGCTTGTGTCGTTTGTGTAACGTTCCTAGCCTGACGGGCATAATGGTGCCTGCAAGAATTCACGTTGAGGAAAAATGAGGAGGGGGAGGTAGATGGTCAGCATTAAAGCACCAGCGTGCGCCAGAGTCACGTACTAAGGACTTGCCGGTAAATATTCTGGTAATGACTAGACAGTTAGCTGACAGCGGTTTATTCCTTTTAAGTAGTATGGTTGCGTGTGACGCCCCTACACCTGTGCTTGCCGTTCCTCATCAGTGAGAACTGGAGGAAAAGGAAAAACATACAGTCCTACTGCCATAATTTTCACTTGTTGGCTTGCTTCCCAGCCAATCTATGCAAAACTTCGCGGATTAAGCGCTTACTTATTAGTTCGCCTGGTTTCAACCTCTTTTAGGCTGCTTAAACTCAAACCGACGGCAAAGCTGTAAGCACTAGCTGACAGGCCGGCGTTGCAGTGTTCGGTCGATCGCCAGGCATAAAACGACACCGAAGCCGGTCGTGCTTTGTCCGGCCGGGAACCGTTGCGACTTTTACACCCGGCTCGTAACTCATGCTAAAGAATACAACCGAGCGTCGTTAAGGCCGCTTTATTTTACGGCTCTGTACTTAGACGCCTCGCGAGGACGATGACAAGGGCGTTTTTGCCGACGACACCTCTGCGATGTCCGATGTCCGATGTCCGTCGTCGACCATCTGGTCGAAACGGCGACGACGAGGACGAAGATGAGGAGATGGCGCACCGAAGACCGCTACCGACAGCTGGTGATCGAGCACCAGGCTGAGGTCGTAAAACAACCGTCATGATCCCGAGGCCCAACCTCACCTTTCACCATCACGTGTTAGTCATTTCGCAGCAGGTCGGCTTACCGATCGTTCGATACCTCAGCTCGTTACCGCGTCGCAAATGCAGCGATAAGTTGACCGTTAACATGAACTCTCATTAGCTCGAGAGAATAGCAGGTGATTTTTATGACCTTCATTGCGTAATTACTTCCTCCGGAAGCGTAGACAGGTTTCCAGTTCTGCCGGGCGTTTTTTTTGCAACGGATGTCCGTTGAAAGGTAAAACGACGACCGACAGGCCGTTCTGCCTCAGCGTTCCTCACCTTTAAAAACGGGGCCTATCAGCTGCCTGGCCAGCTCAGTGACAGTTCTTGTCCTTAGTTGAGGACTGGCCTATAAACTGAAATGTACTATCGAGAAAGTAAACATTTTTGACGTATTTGCGCAAACAATTCTATTTAAGTGAGGATGACAGCACATCGTTCGTCTGAGAAGCTAGCAGCATTGGAAGCGAGGATCGAAACTTACCAAGTGACTGCAAACTTGTCATCGAAGTTGTCCCACAGCTCCACCGGCCCAAGACACCAAGAACGAAAGCATTTTTGACGACAGTTGCGCAGAAATAATTGAAGGAATTTAGCTTCTTCGAATGGTTTAGGATATCTGGTACCATGGGGATGCCGTATGTGCTTTCTTACGCTCGGAAAGAATCTTTGTTTTTCATCGTTTGTAAATAGGCCTGACGGACTGTTCCGGGCCGGAGACCGAAACGACACAATACGTTACAGAGGTACTCCGCACCTGAAGGAATTCTATTGTTGAAAAAGTGGCCACTTTAGACGAATATTTAAT